GGGCGCGTCCAGCGTCAAGGTGACGTACCTCTCGGCGGATGGCGTCCGTCGCACGGTGATTGCCAATCAGACGGCGAGTCCGGTCGCGATCCTCGCGTGCTTTGTCGGTGGCCGCGCGCCGCAGTCGGACTACCCGTCGTACGTCATGGACATGCTCGCGCAGGCACGCAGGGCGTCGGATCGTCGTCACGTACTCGAACGGGGACGAGGCCATGATCCTCAACTTCATCGCGCTCCTCTCGCTCCTCGGGTATGGGTACTATAGCGTTTGTATCTGCCTCTACCTGCGACGGCTGCGAAGCTGGCTCGCGGAAAACACCGCCAAGAACACGGAGCCGCAGCGGCGCTACAGCGTCGCGAACGCCAACATCAGCTGCATGGTCTGGATGCACCACCGGACGTCGATGAAGTTTGTGGGCTTCGTGAGCTTCCTCGCGTGGCACATTGACGCCGCCAAGATTCGCTGCGCGTGGGCCGCCGCGATCGACGAGATGGCGACCGACGCCACGTACAGCTGCAGCGTCGACAGCCTCGGGCACCTCGACGGCGTCGTTAGCCTTGCGTCCTTTGCGTGGATCTTCTTCGCCCTTGTCTACATGGACCTGTTGCCCGGCGTCACGATTCAAACGCGCGGGTATCTGGTGACGACGGTGCTTCTGGGCGCGCTCCCACTCTCGCTACTCTCATTTCTGATAGCCGAGCTCTGCAAGCTCCGACGGACGCTGCCCGGGTTCTCGATGGTGCACGAATATCTCTTCTTGGCGCTGTCGTGGGGCGCGGTCATGGCGCTCCTGCGCACGTCCGTGCTTTTAGCACCGACGATAACGCTGCTGGAGGCTGCGTTGCGGGTCGTTGGCGTCCGTCGACAGGCCATTGACCCCGAGAGCGCGTGGGCGGGTGTCATCGGACATAGCTACTGGGTCGACGCCAGTGGGTACCGCCCGTCGCCCGTGTCGTACGTGCCGCTGAGCCTCCTTCTGGAAACCCCGCACATGGACGTGCGCCATGTAATCGACCACGCGTATGGTGCCAACGACGTCCGGCGCCACTGCGACCACCCCGAGTGGGTCGCGTACCAATGCGAGTACGTGGTGTTTCTGGCCCACTAAGTCGAGGCCATTCGTCCTCTATTTGATGGCGCCTGTCCTTCGTACTGCAATATCTCGGAGGTAGATGCTACCAGCTCTTGCTCGCCCAGCACCCGCGGCGGTGCGCTTGACGCAAGGGCTCGCGCGATCATCGCTGCTGCCATTCGCTTCCGTCGTCAAAACTGCATACATGCAGCGCGTCGGCGCTAGGAGCCCTTGGGGTCCCATAATTTAAATGAATGCAAAAAATCAATTTGCGAATGGCGCGCTCTCCAAGCGGCGCCGAGACTACGCCGACAGCTCCTCTTGCTCGACGTGGTGAGCTTCTTCAGCGCGCACGATTCCGGGCACCTGGTACGTTCCCGCAGTGGCTTAATCAATCAATCAAACGTGTTCGCGTTGAAATCAAATGAACAAAAACTAACTCAAAGACGCCATCTTCGCATACGTAGCGCTACGCCTGGATGCGTGGGAGTTGGCACCAGCACTTGGTCAGTCGCAGTGGCTCGCAACAGAGAAAGGACCTCTTGGCGTATCGAAGCAGGCGCGGGCGACGACCAAGTGCGACTACCGATATGCTAAAAACGACGTTGCTCTTGGAGTAAGCTTACGCTCGTGCTTCAGGCGTCGCGTCGCGCGCTCAAGAACCGAGGCAAACACACGAGACGCAGTCGCACAGCTCTAAAGTGGCCGGGGCCAAGAGTCCCGCCGTCACTGCTATAAGGAGCTTCAGCGTCCGTCCATTGAATAATACTGGTAGCTGGTTTGAGAGTACCCTTTGAAGTGTGAAGGACGAGGTCACGTTGCACTTGAAAAGCGTCAGGTCGGTGCGCTTTTTCTGGATATGGACCGTGCCACTGGGATTCAAATGAGCACCTCTTTGTACGAAACGGTGCATGTTCGCTGGCTCTAATATCAACTTGATAGAAAAGCCGTCCTTGTCGGGCAAGGCCAGTGCGCTGCTTTGGTGTGGCTAGATGACATTAGCGATGGATCGTGGTTTAGCGTCGACGCTCGCTCGCAGGTACACACGAAGCGACCGATTTCTACACCACTGCTGTGCCCTTTTTTTGCATTTTGCAACTGTTTGGATGCCATGGTGGCGCTCACATTCTGTCGAGCGCCTTTTGTCCAGTCGGTGGATTTCTGCTTCGTAAGCAAACGGCCCGCGCTTCGACCCCGTCCGTGCGCTCCTTTTCCCGTCGTCCATGGGATTTACAAGGTATTTCTCTCGCATTGTAAAACACATTCTCTCACGTTTCTCCCTTGGTAGGCAGACCGCGAGAAGGAAAATCATTGGCACACAAGAGGAGCAGCAGTTGCCAACCCGGCCCCGGCTCTGGCAAGAGATGAAACATACCCTCGTGCGCGTGGACGTGGCAGAATCGCTGCCACGGTGGAAGGTGGTGACGTTGCTCGGGTTGGCGCCGCTGCTACTCTTTTGCTATCCATCGCAGGTACGTCTCCTATCCTATCCGATCCTATCCTATCTTATCTCGTTGTCCTAGCTTGGAGCAAACGTAGCCTAATCGTCATCGCACACTTGTAGTTGCAGTGTAGAGCGATTCGATTCCAGTCCCAGAAGCACACTGGCTGCTGGATCATACAGTGTCTTGCAAACGCTGTACTTCAAACAGTGTCTGTGCAGCGAAACAGCAGTTCGAATCTCGCATCCAGTCGACAACTCGCTCGTCATGGCCGAGGAGTGGGGCGACTGGCCGATCGACGACGAGAACACGCAGCTGATGGACCTTCATCCCTTCTGGGACCAAGAGCCTCGGGTCATCCCGTACGGAGCCGTGAGTGGCACGTGACGACGAGCGCACTCGCGGCCGCAGCGCGCGCGGCGGCGTAAAGTGTAGTACCTGCGACGCGCTCCCGCAGTGCGATGACCCAAAGGGAACGATCTCGCTGTACGGACACGGGCTCTGCGCGATCGCCGACGCAGCAATGGCGGCGAGAGCGAGCATGATACCGACTGCGCATCGTCTGGGTGCTCTTGCCACGGCGAGCTGCCACGGCGGTGGACACTTGGTGGACTTGGAACTTCGGATTGTTACGCGCGCCAAGATGGTCATGCACACATGCGCTTTCGATGCTTCGCACCGAGTTGAGCGCCTATTTGTGCGCAACAAGAGTGCCTACTCACTGGTTTCTCTCTGGCGACGACGCATTCTCTTTGCAGCGAGGCCACTGGCATCCAGCGCACTCCTGTGCACGCGCCTTCTCAAGTTATTGAATCTAGTTTATGCAGTTGATGCATATCGAGTATGCAGTCGGCCTCCACAGGGATGCTCTGCCAGTGTTGTGCGCAGTGGCCCACTCGTCGGCTTTGTCGGCTTTGCTACGGCGCCACCATACATGGCGCCACCGTACGTACGTAGTACTATCCAGATATGAACCAGAAGAACACCAGCTGACTTGATAGTAGTACCAAGTCAGCTAGCTGCCCTGGTGTTCTTCAGCCCCAGCGGTCGGCTCTTTTCACTCCTCTTCAATACCACCTCGTGCTGACTCTTCCCGCACCAAGAACAACGTCGACCACACGCGCTGTGCAACGCCGTACAGCGCGTGCGTGGCCAACCACACGTCCGGCAAGGCCACCGTTGTCACAGGCAGCACGGTGACCGGTATCAACGCCATGGGCAACGTCTCGACCGCCGGCATCGACGGCGTGTCCGTCGCCACGTCCACGCTGCCACCTCGGCTCATGCAACCACGATGTGCAAGCCGCGATCGCTCGGACGGTCGCGATTGCCATCGCACGTCATCGTCCCGCCGTCGTCCCGCGCCGAAGCCGAGGGGTCAACAACGATCCGGAGGTCGTCGAAGCGATCGCTCGGGACGTCGTCGCCGCGATCCAACGCCATCGTCCCGCCCCTTCCCGCACCGAGGCGATCTCGACGAGCCCCGTTTCTACGGACTGGAGCATGGCCAGGACGTGCAACGGGTCAAGTCGACGGTCGAGGCTTACGTCACGCAATGGTGCATGCACACTACCTGCCCCGTCCAAGCTTGTACGTACCATTATATCTCGATGAACCGTCACTGAGGTGCTTGTAGTG